CTCAGTACAAGGGTCTCCTATGGTTCCACTTCATGAAAACAAATACAGAGATGTATAATTTTTCTGCCTTTCTGACATCGTTCATCTAGCTTGGCCTTTAGCTCCTCCTGTAGATCAGCTTGCCACAGGCTGATTTTTCCTGGCTTTGTCCTCCATTAAAACCATGCCATTAAAAAAAAATCATCTACGTTCTACTGAAGTATGGGGTGTGATGGGGTTGTTTGGCAAAATTACCTGGGAACGAGTCCAGACTTAGACCCATTTATGCAGCCATACCTGTTGAGATAACGGGGTGAATCCCTTCCCAACCAGGGCTGTAAATCCACTTCTTGCAGTTGCATCATTAGAAGGTGACCTCTCTTTTAAAGCTTCACCAGGCCTCCTGAAAGGCGAAGCCATTTTACGTGGACAATCTTGCTCTGCTAGTGCCTGGATTTTAGAAGATTAGCTGACAATCAATGAAACTTGCGTGAAAAATTGACTCAACAGCCACATATATTCCACGATGGTTCACCTGAGCAGCTCATTCTGTAAGGATTGGAAAGAGATAATTTGAGAGTGTCTCCAAAATAATAGACTCCCAAAAGTAGGGCTGCCGTTTTTGGCAGGAGGTCCAAGGGGAACATCCAGCCTTTTCCTCTCAGCTGTGTTCCTAATCCTTTTCTATTTCTTAATTCATGTCTCACTTGTACCTGCATTAGGGATGTTTCCAACCCTCCCTCCTAATCTCATCCTACCGCATCCGAAAATAACAGCTTATTTTAGGAGGGATAAAGCAAACTCTGCAGCTTGCAATACTTTATAACCCCCTGCCTGGGATTGCTGCATTTAGATTTTGGAATCGTCGAGTTGCAAGGGGTCATTAGGCTATCACTTGCCCAGTGTGTAAATCCAAATTAAAACATCCCTGATAGACAGCTGTCCAGCCGGTGCCTGAATTCATTCCATGAAGAAGAGGTTAACATCTCCCTTGATAATTGGTTTTCTGTTGCCAAACTGCTCCTACTGCTAAAAAATCTTTTGAGCTGTGAGGAGCAAGAGGTTCAACTTCTTCGGTGGGGCACCTGTTTTGCCAGTTATCAAAGCTGTGATCAGGTGCCCAGGCAACTGGTTCTTTAGTTCTTTTAGATCCAGAGACAATGAACACACCAGTAGGTAAGGAGATTCTAAGCTTTATTGTTAATCTAGCAAACAGATTTCAGCAGGAAGACAGCAGCATAAGGTAGAATTAAACAGAAATGCATAAGCATAGTATAAAAACATAACATACGAAGCAAGATGATACACCTCTTCCCTACTGTCGGGAAGGCAGGGGAGAGACCCCAAGATGGTTTCAATAACACAGCACCTAGTCCCAAGGCCCGTGTCCATGCGCCAACCTCCAGGGGCAATGCCAGGGCTTTAATAAAAGTCCAGCACTCCAATTCCATGATTCTGTTTTGGAGCCGGGGCCCTGAAAGTGACCTTGACTCGATGTGATACCTGCTCCAGAGCCTGAGAACTGTATAGATAAGCTAGTGCTTAACCTAAACAATCCTGAAGATTTTCCTCCCCCCGCCCACTTCTAAGTAAAAATGAAAAACAAGCCAGCTAAGCATTATTATAATTCAAAGTGAGCTTTCTTAACATGAGCAGGAGAAATCAAACCATGTCTCCTAAGCTCCCCAAAATAAAAATGGTCTTCTGCATTGCCACTACAGCATGTCTTCAGGCACCTAGAAAATGCTGTCGTATCTCCCCACTCCTCACCCTAGTTGTTTTTTTTTTTTAGGTTAAACATACCAGCACCTTTAGTTTATTTTCACAAGACTTACTCTCCACTTTTCTGATCATTCTCCATGCCCTTTAGGTACTGGTTCCAGTTCCTTCGCATCCTCCTTCAAATGCAGTGCCCAGAACCAGACACACTACTTGGAGTGATGTCTGACCAAGGCAGAATAGAGTAGGCGATTATTTCTCATGATTCAGGAAATGCCCTTCTGTAATGCATTTGCCTTTTTAACAGTCACGTCAGGGTGCTGAATATTCGGCTTGTGATCAACTAGTTCCAAGATCTTTTTTTAGACATACTGTTATCAGACTATATTTCCCCTATCCTCTGCCTATGCATTGGATTTCTCTTTCGTAATGTCCAACAGTAGGACCAGCTCTGATAATTTGTGCATGCACGTGCGAGCAACTCCCTCCCCCCGTAGAAGGGCAGTTCTTGAAATGTCCCTACCTTCAAATGTACTCCATTTCTCATAATGACTGATGTTCCGCTCAACAATCTACAAATAATTTGTTCATAAATAGATGCATTTGTTTTCATGTCATTAACTATGTAGTATAGTTGACCGGAAAAAGCAAATTTCAGTTTATTTCAGATGAGTGTCTTACATGTCATTTTTCAGAAACCTAGTGGACTTTGGAGGCTGCTAATGATATATGCCAAAACTTGTATTTAGTCTGGCAACCCATCAAACTAACTCTCAAGAAATTAATATTTGATTTCTGAATCAATTTAGAGTTTAAGTGAACTTCAAATGTGTTGTTGCACATTTGTTCAGCACAATTAACTGTACTTCCAATGTGCATTATAACGCACAGTTATTTTTGTCTGTAAGGGCTTTTTTCATATTGTAAGCCATTTTAGCAATAGCTCTTGGTCTTTTGAAGGGTGTCAGAGGAGAATAATCTTTTTTATGTTACTTGCTATGGAAACCGCACACCATTTATTGCTTTGAAAGTTGTCATCCAGCTTCCGTCAATCAAGAATTGAACTATGTCTACTGTGAAGACTGAATGAAGAATCAGGTCTGAAGGGGTGTGAAGTAATAAAATCCTTGGAATAGGTTCATACATCATACAGTTCTGTTAACCATGTTTTGAGGAATAAGTCAACATTGGCTGGTGATATGCTAAGCCAAACTCCATGGTTTACAGAGCACAGTGGCTAGTTTCATACAATAGACTAAACCCAAATTTACAAACCAAAATAATGGCTTAGCATAATGTGTGAACCCGGCCTTTTCCTGGAGTTGTGGGAGGCCTTATATGCCATCTAGTCCAATACCCTGTTCAACAACAACAACAAAATCCACAACTTGAGCTTCCCGAGCAGATAGCAGTCCAGTCGCTGCCTGTACATCTCCCATGTTAGAGCGCTCAGCGTACAATTGGTTCCATTGTTCAGCTGTTCTTAAATGTCACATAATGGTCAATAAAAATCATAAGAGTAGGAGAAGGCTTTGTAAGATGTCTAATCCAAACCATTACTTGATGTATGAAATCTAGATCTGGGACATTTCCAACAGGTGACCATCTAAACTCAATTTGCGTAAGGAATTTCTTTCCATGCTCAAACAGTTCTGGCCATCAAGATGTTTCTCCTGAAACTCAGATGGAATGCACCTTCTTGGGATTTTTGCTCTTTAAACCCAGCTTTAAGCTGCACTCTTTGAGACTTTGTAGAACAAACCTTTGCTTTCTTCTAGGTCCTCCCTTTGCTTCCTTCAGTTCTTTTATTAGCGTTATTATATCCCATCTCAGCCTTCTCTTTTCCACGTTAGATATTCTAATTCACAGGACTTGTTTTGCACAGATCAGACTCTCTTTCTTGCTTTCTGCAAAACTAATTTCATTTGGCCCGACTTCTTTAAAGCATAGGGCCAAGACACTGACACAATACAGTATCGCCAGCGAAGACTAGCAAATTCAGGGAGAATCAGATTCAGGAGATGATCCAATGGGGAAAGGGTTTGTTTGTTTGTTCAATTTATGACTACCCAACTCCCAATGACGTTGGGGGGCTTACAATTAAAAGTAAGGGAAAAACAAAGAAATCATAAGAAGCCCAAAGGCAAACATACCACCCCCCCCAAAATACAACAGGCTCAGCCATCACCCTGCCACAAGCCTGGGACAATAGCCAGGTCTTTAATAGCTTCCCAAATGTCATCAAGTTTATGAGGCTATTGTGTAACAAAAACAGTCAGTAGTCTGAATCTGCTACTTTCACACTTTTCAGAATCAGGATACACCATTAATCCCAAATGCAAAATGCAAAATACAACAAGTTGTAATTGGTTAGCCTCTCTCCCTCCTTTCCTTTTCCAATTCTTTCCACCACTATCCCTCCTCTGTTTCTCAGGACACAGCTAAGTTGATTAAAGCCCTAGTAGCTTCATTTGCACAAATGCTAACCTTGGTGAGCGATAACCTTGAGTAGGGTTTTTTTCATAGCTTATCACGTCTGGTGAATCCATCTGTTTATCTAGTTTATTGGGTCATCATTTGCCCCAAATTCAGAAAGAGGAGTTATTGAGAAATCAGTTAGTGTGTAACATAAATACAGTCATTTACGTTACGGAACTATTGAGGATAAAAAATAGACAAGACCTCAGGATATAGAGGAAGAGTTAGCGAGGGCCACAATATTGGCTGTTGGAAGGAACTTCTTTATAATCAGATTGACGGCTCTCAAAGTGATGCACAATTATCAGTCTCCTTCCCTTCCTTTGTAACTGAGACCTTTGTATATTACCAATGCATTCCTTAATCCTGCAAGTCACTTCCATTTTAATCTGTAAAGAGAATCTTTGGTCTCTGTTTCAGCCCTAATTATTATTGGGGGAATCCTGGGATGATGATGATGATGATGATGATAATGATGATGATGATGATGATGATGATGATTTATTTTCTATACCTCAAGGCAATGTACAGTATATCATGCTCCCACTTCCTATTTTCCCTGTGAGGTGAGTTGGGCTGAGAGAGAGCAACTGGCCCAAAGACAACCAGCTGGTTTTCTTGCCAAAGGGAGGACTAGAACTCACAATTTCCTGGTTTCTAGTCCAGCATCTTCACCACTACATTAAACACTTTTTGGGGAAGTGCCTTCAAGATCATCAGTGTTGACTCCTGGCGACTGCCTGGACTGGTCCCTGCAGTTTTCTCGGCCAGATTTCAGAAGTTGCCCTTGCCTCCTTCCTAGAGCTGAGAGAGAGGGACTGGCCCAAGGTTACCCAGTTGGCTTTGTGCCTAAAGCAGGACTAGAACTCACAACCCCCTGGTTTCTAGCCTGGTGCCTTAACCCCTACACCAAACTGGCTCTCTACATTAAACATTACACCAAATATTTGTGAGCCTATTCTATATCACCAGTTGCTTATAAGAAAAAAGTGGAAGAGGGTATTCCTGATCACAAGGACCTGTTGAAAGCAAGGTGGAATAATAATAAAAAAATCAAATACATGTTGGTTTTTTTTAAAAAAAAATCTGAGAATCACACAGCCTTAGTGCCTATTTAAGACAAAAACAATGCAAAGACTGCCATTCTTATGCTAGCCATTTGGTCCACACTGTTAGTTCAAAAGAGAAGGAGGAACTGATACCCAGTTTCTTTGTCTGATCATCTGGGAATGGTTCTCTCCTCCCAACAGCAGCTAGAAAGCTACAAGGTTGGTTTAAGGTCATGATCCCATCTGTGTGGGTCACTGAGCTGTGTGGTTTCTGCCCCTTGATTCTCTGTAATTTGTGGTGTTTGTTTTCTTCAAAGCCGAGAAGGAAATCCAGTACTTCAAATTGAAGTGGAGCCAACCTCCGAGGTAAGGCCCATGCAAGGAGTGGGGGGACTTTCTTGGGCTGAAACAAAAGGGAATCAAAGGAATGAGCTTTGTTGTGAAGGTCCCAGTGGAGACCAAACAGCAGTGGCTTGTGGATTGCTTTGTTTTTGGGCTCTCTCATGGACAACTCTAGCAACTTTTGATCTGTGCTGCACTGAATACAAGTTAAATGTCACATCTTGCTGTAGCTGACCTGGGCTTGGTGGAGCAGTGGACACGGGACCAATTCTCGCTCACACTCCATGCCTTGAATCCCAACTGATTGCTCATGCAGAGATGGATATCAAAGGATGAGCTATGTTGCGTGGGCAATGTTGGGAGCCACGTTCCTATTGTGGTGCTTCTAAGTTATGCCTGAATGGGACCAATAACAGAAATAGCAATATTTGATTGTCTGTGTATCTTTGTGTGAGTGTGTAGTTTTAGGCCACACATGGAAGGGAACAGTTCAGAAGTGATTCACTGATCCCATCATTCACTGATCCCAACATCTCTCACTGTTGCTTTAACTTCTCCACACAGCTTACCATGTTATTTTCCCTGAGTTATATATTGTCTATGTCATTGGGCAAATCAAATTACAGTTTTTTATTACCTTTCAAGACAACCTTACCACTCGTGTTTATAGAAAATTCACTCGTATGATTGTTGTTGAAGTCAATGCTCAAACTGCATTGGTTTGTCAGTAAGAGAGGAATCGTAACATCTTACCTTTTGTGAAGTCCCCGTAAGCTAGAAGGCCATATAGAGAGGGGTGTGTGGATTGGCCTATAGCTTCTTAATCTCCCCCCACCCCCTGCCCATAATTTTAGCTCTGGTTATAAATGAGGAGGTGGCAATCTTTGACCTGCAAGTCCGATGCTGCCTTCAACCTATTTCAAAAGCAGGCAATCTGGAATTCTGATCAAGAGAGATCTGGTCCTTTTCTAGCAGACTTCCGGAAAGAGGGGAAGGGGGTATCAGAATGAGAAAAAGGGACTATGAAAGAAGAAAGTGAAAAAACTAGAGTGGGTGACCCTGCTCACTTTTCTCTCTGGCCCCACCCGCCACTTGCTTCAATCCTGCCTACTATTGGTCTGGAGGAGGAACGTTATCTGTTGGGGATGGGGGCATTACCCAAGGTGTGTTGCATAAAACAATCCTTTCTCTTATCCCTTCTCCAGACTGAACAGGGAAACGATGAAGAATCTGAGGATGACTTTGAGGAGATGAACCTCTCACTCCTCTCAGCTCGCAATTTCCCACGAAAAGCCAGCCAGACCAGCATCTTTCTGCAGGAGTGGGACATTCCCTTTGAGCAGCTGGAGATTGGAGAGCTGATTGGCAAGGGCCGCTTCGGGCAGGTGTTTCATGGCCGCTGGCATGGTGAGGTAGCCATCCGCCTCATCGACATTGAGCGGGACAATGAGGACCAGCTGAAGGCCTTCAAACGGGAAGTGATGGCTTACAGGCAGACGCGGCATGAGAATGTGGTGCTGTTCATGGGTGCCTGCATGAGCCCTCCCCACCTTGCCATCATCACTAGGTAAGGCACATGCTTTGAAGCCACCAAACCTTTGATCCTTTCTTGTGTGCAACTTCTGACAAGTCACTTCATCTCCAAATGGGAATTACTTTCCTGGCAGGTAATAATTCCTCAGAAGCCCTAAACCAGGTCATTTCAGAGAAATACATGGAGCACATCCATCTCACCAGTGACATCAATTGGAATTGGCTCCTAAGGAGGAGAGGTTCAACTTTCTTAGGACTGGTTACTGTCTCATGATATGCTTGACCAGGACATGGGTTATATTTATACAACATGTTAAGCTTGGTTAGCCTTAAACGTGGTTGATTTTTGTTCGACGTAGTGTGTGACATGAATCTAGCTTCTTTTGTAGTTCTTTAGACTGATCAAGCAGAGATCTTCTTAAATTCTTACACCCTAAGACCTTCCCCAGTTCCTAGGATCACCAAGTGGAAGTTTTCCTCTCCCAATGAATAGGTTTGCTCAGTGCTTTGGAGACTACAGTTGATTGTGTGTGGGAGGGAGAAGGGTGATTTTTTTTCTTAAAAAACAATTGGCCTATTATACCCTTAACAATACAGGAGAAAGAGTGTTTCCTCTTCAAAATGACTGGTTTTTCACCTATTGCACCATCAACATTCATTAGGAGGGCCTTCTGAAGACTCCCCAAAACAATGCTCACGTTCAGATGCATCTTTGGGCCCACAGGTTGCCCTTCTCCTATCAATGGGCAGCACATGCCATTATTTGTGTATAGAAACATCACCTCTCTCCAAAGTCTGGATAACCCTGAGATTTTCCCTCTGTAAGCATATGTCACAATGACCTGCATTTCCATTGAGGGAGGGAGGGGGGAAGCAAGTGGTTTCCGTGGATGCTATAAGCCTTCATTGCTGTCTTCTCCCAGAGAAGAATCTGACTCTGTAAACCTTGCCTTGCCCTCGCTTCCCAGCTGTCAAAGAAGGGACATTGCAAAATAGTATTTCAAGAAGTCCACTGGAGGTGCCAGTAGAGTATTCTGTCTTTCAGCTAAGCGGCATTGCTCTTCCTTGTACAGATGTGCAAAACTTCCAAGCCTGGCAGCATGATAATATTTGTCACCTTACATGGGTTGGCAGAGTTCCCTGCTCTGACCTCCTCTGGTTCTTAGCCTTTTTCCTAAGGTCAATGTCTGTCATTATCAGATTGGCCCCAGAAGAACTAGAATATCCTCAGCCTCTGATTATGGAGTGCTTCTTGTCTTCAGCTGGGAGTTGATCATCACCTTTGGGGCTTCCTAGCACTGACTTGCATTCACTTCATTTAAAATGCAAAGCATATTTATGATTAAGCCCAATAGTTGTCTGTGTAGTCTGTGGTAGTGATGTGCAAAGAATGTTTATTTAAGATGCTCTGTTAGTGGACAACACTTGAGTGATTAAGGGTCTCAGTTCAGCTTTCTTACTTCCTGGAAGACCACAGAAAGAACTGGAAGAGAACTGTTTGTCTGTTGGGCTTGCACCAGCAGAATTCAGTCATTTTGCCATTTCATTATGGTGGCATGATGTCAAGTTGCAGGAGACTTCAAATGTGGGGCTGGCCGGGGCAGCATCTGTAGAACATGTTGCTGTTCTACTTGATGCTGCTTGGCTGTTGTAGAAAGCTGTGGGTGGCAAAATGGGCTATATATCAATCCTTGTTCAATATGTTTTAGGCCAGGGAAGTGTAACTGAAGTCCACAGAGCTGCATGCACCCCCAAACCCCAAAGCCTTGCGTGTACTCTCCAGAGCTCTTCTAAAAGTTGCCATCAAACTGCAGTTTTAATGTGACAGAAGGTAAATTATTAATCACATGAAATGTATTCATATTAATTATATTTAATTGAAATTAAATCAGTATTTTGCCCATAGCTTATTCACTTTGTCCTAGCCCTGGCCACTTTTTAGGATATGACTCCTGACATATGAATCATAAGGCAGATGCAGACTTTAACTCAAGAAAGACTATGAAATCCAGTTATAGTTGTCAGGAGAGTAACACTTGCTAAGAGTATGGAGAACATAGGCATCTGATAGAAGCTATGATGATGTCACAAGTATTATGACAACATTTGCATGATTATGTTGTGACACTGATGACATCACTACTCCCACCCAGGATTTGGGACCGGGGGAGGGCGAACAGAGGTTTTAGGCTAGGAGCAGGTGTAGGATGAACTTCTGCAATGCGGATCCCTTCAGATATTTTCAAGAATAGCTCCTGACATCCCTAATACATGATGGATTGGACT